TAAGAATGTATAGAGAATATAAACCATAAAAATTTCGTTAATGTAGATCTGGATTTATGATATGTATACTAAAACTATATAAAAAGAAGTTAAGATAATGGTAATCTTACCTTTTGTATAAATATCACCTTAAACATACAGCATTCGAATTGTACACAAATCTAAACATTCTCTTCTAGTCAATACAAATAACTAGACAGCTGCATAGTGACAGGCAAAATTTAATTCCACTTTTGGTATGAATGAAGGGGCAGGCAGCAGACGCATCTATACAGCTTAGGTGTGTAGAGGAAGTAGATTCTACCATATGACGCTTGCTGTTGGAATATGTAAACAGTGGAACTAAAGTTAGAAGTTATCACACTTGGAATATATATATGAATATACTTTTAAGGCAGAAGGTAATGAGGAAAGATTAACGGTATTTGTACCTGTGTATGATCACTGAATGCATTATTAAACTATTGGCACAATTAGTATTCAGTTTTCACCTCCTATGAAACGAGTCAAAATTCCTTTGTTTTGAAAGAGCAAGAGTGACAAAATCACACACATTTAACATTAGATAGTACTTTGAAACATTACACGTACTAGGTAGACTTGTGTTAGGAGGAATACGATGAGTGACAGATCGCGGATTATTATCTGAAGGGGCAGTGTAATTACGGGGCGAGATCTTCAGGAATTAGGTTTTCACACACAGTAAGAGTAAAACGTACGAGATGGATAAGCAAAGGTGGCTCTGTTGAAGAAACGATCTAGCAAGTAGTCTGCTCATATTGCTAAGTATGTGAACGCAGTCGAACTGTGTCGCATAAGCGTGCATCTGGATTTCCTGTCAAATGCATTAAATAATTGTGTTCACGCGAATTACACTGATTAACGCCTGTTTGGTTTGAACTCGGAATGGTTTGCGGAATCAGTGTCTGCTATGCTAAAGAGCATTGTAATCACGATTGATGTATCTACCATATATCATGATTATCTGTGTAGCTTCTTGAATCATCTTAAAAGCATGTATAGACATAGAGCTAAGAAGTTAAAAACTAAAGTATAACCAGAATAGGAGTTTCTTGAAAAAAAAAAAAAAAACATTTCAATGACATCGTTTGTAATGCTACAACTTAGTGGACGAAAGAGAATCGAATTATAAAACTGCTAGTTGTTCGGTCTCCCTTTGTATTTTTCTTTAACAACACGGCCAAATTAACAGCAATCACGCAATCAAGCTGTGTAAATTTGCATACTGTAATATTCCCGGTTCGCTCGCCAGTATTCCAGTCTTCATAGTTTTTCACCCTAACATGAATATGATTTATAATACATAATCAAATTACATACCATGACAAAATTTAAGAAAATCAAATTGCTGATTAATGACTAAATAACCGTTCTTGTAAAAATAATTCTGCTCCTGTACCAACTCGCCAAAAATTCACACTGTTCCTTAATATATCTATAATACCACCTGTCTTCCAAAACAGGATAATACTGAATTTGTATCACTACCAAATGTTCGGTCCATTTTAACATTTGTTATCCATAAATGATCCTTTTTTTAGAAATGTAACTTGATTCAATAATACAGTACCGTTATGAATATAAATGATGGATCTAATATATGACCATTACAAAGAACTGTATTTCCGGTATGTAAGGTTTACATGCTAATACATCCCATCATGCAAGCAAATAAACAAAGAAAAATAAGAAAACTGAAAATAGAAAATCAAAATCCAATTACGAATCCCCTAAATTGATGCTCCGAGTGGCGTTGACCACGGACTCGAGGGTGAGATCCGATTCGGTGGAGGAGAACAGCGAGTCGGCGGAGTCGATGCCGTAGCTGAAGTCCAGGCTGTTCGACCCCGACATGGCCGACTCCGGACTCGACTGCACGGGCGTGGACATTCTGATGATGGTGTCCTGCGTCGTCCGGGTTCTGGGCGTCGGGAGGGCGGCGTTGCCCTGGAGGAAGGGCTTCTGCTGGCCGAGGCTCGGGTCGGAGCAGGCGAGGTCCGGCTCGTCGTCGATCTCGTCCTCCAAGCTGGAGTACGAGTCCATGGTGTCTTCTGGAAGGAGAGGTGCCGGGGTTGAGAAGGTTCCCGTTTTGTTATGAGTGTCGTACACACACACACACACATATTTGTGTGACACACACACACACACACACACAATATATTATATATATATATATATATATATATATATATATATATATATATATACTATATAATATATATCATGTCTTCTCTCGCCTTTTCTCTCTCACTCCTCTTCTTCCTCTCTCTCTCTTTTTCTCCCCTCTCTCCTCTCTTTTCTTCTCCTCTCTCTCTCTCTCTCTCTCTCTTTCGCTCTTCTCTCTCTCTCTCCTCACATCCTTTCTCTCTCTCTCTCTCTCTCTCTCCTCTCTCTCTCTCTCTCCTCTCTCTCTCTCTCTCTCTCTCTCTCTCTCTCTCACCTCTCTCTCTCTTTTCTCTCTCTCTCTCTTCTCTCTCTCTCTCTCTCTTCTCTCTCTCTCTCTCTTCTCTCTCTCTCTCTCATCTGTATATAATTATGATATATAATATAGGTTATATATATATATTAGTACCATATATACTATATTATTATATATGTATTATATGTATGTATATTTATATATAATATTATATGTATATATATGATTATCTATATGTATATATATATATATATATATATATTAGCATATATATTATATATATATATATATATATATATATATATATATATATAATATATATATATATATATACTGAGTACATACAGATTACATACATAAACACATACACATATGTGTGTATTTACGTGGGTGCGTGCGTTTGTCTACACACACACACACAAAGTTTTTATGTGTGTGTGTTAATCTCCTGGCCTGACACGGAGAGTTATGAACTACGTGCAGCGACGACCCCCTTAAAGGGCGAAGGAAGGAAAGCAATAAAGCCTTCTGAAACAGGAAGAGAAGAGAGCCAAGGCGGATGCAATGGTGGCACGCACTACATTCCCTTGCTCTTACAACGGCGTTTGAAATTATTATCATGGCTTCATAAGGTTTATAAAACATCCCTACCGTTGCTAAAATTTCTGAAACTTATTTTACCCATTTTATTATCCATCTATCTATGGTCATTTCTCTCGGTAACAAGAAAGTACGGTTGGCATTCATATTTGCATTAAAAAAGTGATGATAACGAGAGATGACCGGGAGGAGGGCAACACTGCGTCCATATAGGCCTACGCATCAATCACAGGCTCCCCTTCTGTCTGTCTCTTCCTCTTCTTTTTTTCTTTCCTTATTTCTTTCTTTTTTTTCTTCTCTTTCTTTTCTTTCTCTTCCCTTTTTTTCTATTATTCCCTGTGATTTTCTCTGTTTCTCTCTTTCCTCCCTGTCGTTGCACCTCTTCCCATCACTTTCGCTTTCTCGCTCTTTTCCCTATCCCTGTCTCCTCTTTTCCTCTCTTCTCTTTTTTTCTTTTTCTCGTTCTTTTTCTCTTTACTCTTCTACTCCAGCCACCGACTACATAGTTGCTATGCGTCCGAATAATAGGAAGAGGGTAATGGATGTTATGGGAATGAGCTAGTAAAGACTACACTAGCAGAAGAAACTAGGGGGAGGTATTTTCAAGAAATACTCTCTCTTACGTATCATAATCTTGGCGTTATTTCATAACCGTATGTATGTAGCGGAATGCGTTGTGGGATATACTTGTAAAAGCTATAGATTTTGTGGAAAACTAAGCTATAAAAATGAACATCAAAATAAACATACATAAGGTTTATACTCAGGATCCCTCTTGGTAACCAATGCATATCGGATATCTAAAAGGCGCAAGAATATACTCAGGATCTCTCCAGTATCTTATTACCTTCGGACTCCTAAAGGCATAAATGTTTGCAAACATACAGCTACTGCTACTTACCATCACTTTCATGACCTTCATCAGTTGAGCTGTGACATTCCAGATTTGCTGCATCCGACACTGTTCGAAAAAGATTGATACTTAATCACTGTATTTCAATCTCTAAAATGTCACCACTGCAATTCCAATTCCACGTAATGCATTGGAAATATGTGGATATGTGTGAGCAGACGCGTGTGCCAATGCGATTTTAACAGATCTTTATATGGCAGCCAAATGATACCTGTAGTTTTGTTTAAATGTTTAGTTCTCTATTAGTTGTTATCTAATCTTTGTTCTTGACTTTTGTAGCAATGAGTACTAAATCTTATACATGTAACTAATAATTATATTCTGCATGGTTTATATATATAAAAATAAACAACAATTTGTATTGCCTCCGAAATTAATCAGAGGAATTATATCTTACATTCCTACAAATAATTACTTTCATTCTAAGCACCTGCATTATGGACTAACGTTACAAACTCCATTATACTTACTTTGCTTAATCTTTAGACTGATGAGCGGGAAGAACTCGCGAGCTGTGGCATTTTGCGGCTCGTATTTCAGGACTGAAATTCATGAAGTTCAATTTAAAAATATCGCCAAACCTTCTGTCTATTGATCTTTATTTGTCATCTACTGTGGTTGTGGTGTAAGGTCGATTACGTTTAGATATGTATACTGTGGCAAATGTCAGTATTTTAGATTCATTTTAAGAGGCATATAACTATGGATTGTTTATGAAAATTATAAACGCAATTATTATTTGAATATTATTTGACTTGAGGAATAGAGGAACAAAAACATGGGAAAAAATCATACTTAATGGCATAGTTTTTAAGGGCTTGGTTCGTAATTTTTGATCATAGCTTTGACATGAGAGGAAGAGGAACTGAAACACAAAATGTACATAAGTAACAAAACCGCACACAGACATTTCAAACCAGCAATTTCACCGATTCCCATTACACAGCACGTGACACCCTTCACATACATGAGTAGAGAGCAGGGACCCAGAGAAGTATCTGCTCAAAGTTCAAAATCTTTCGTGTAGTGAAAGAAAACATACAGGAA